GGTATACAGCTGCATGCAGCAGCGTAGCTGCTTGAACATCTGGCGAGTGTTTTCTCTTTCTGTGTTTGTTTTTATTTTTCTTACTGATTACTACTTTGTTATTTACTAATTAGCGTTCTGCTGCAGCATCCCTAGCAGCAGCAGCAGCAGCAGCAGCAGCAGCAGCAGCAAGCGCAGCAGCAGCAGCAGCAGCTGGATTACTCGCTTGCTGGCCTTCATCTGTTGTTACGGGGTGTACATACACCCCAACCCTGTTCTGTAGTTTTTTGTTTTTTTGTTTTTTTTTTATTTCTTCTTTCTTAAGCAGCATCACAGCACTCACCTTACACTAACCCCCGCTGCAGCAGCAGCAGCAGCAGCAGCAGCAGCAGCAGCAGCAGCAGCAGGAAACAATGGCGCCGCCGCAGGAGAAAGACAGCGCCACCATCTATGGAGACGATGATGAGCGCGTGGGGGTTGTATATAAGGTAGCGGGCCCCTGTAAGCTGTACATACACTGCTGCTGCTGCTGCTGCTGCTGCTGCTGCTGCTGCTGCTGCTGCTGCTGTTGTTGTTGTTTTGTTGTTGGGTTGCTGCTGCTACTTTTGCTGCTGCAGTGTTGCTGCTGTCGCTCGTTCTGCTGCTGATTTGCTGCTGCTGCTGATACTTCTGCTGCTGGAGTCGTGTTCATACTCCGCAGCTAGCTGCTGCTGCTGCTGCTGCTGCTGCTGCTTCAGTGTTGCTGCTGCTGCTGCTGCTGCTGCTGCTTACACACGACAGAAAGAGCTGCAGCAACGTTGCGAGTTCACAGGTTGCTGCTGCTGCAGTTGCTGCTGCTGCTGTTGCTGCTGCTGCTGTTGCTGCTGCTGTGATTTACCCACGTTTCTCAACTCCTCTCTTTCGTTGTGTGTTGCTGCTGCTGTCCCTGCTGCTGCTGCTGCTGCTTCTGCTGCTGCTGCTTTTGCTGCTTCTGCTGCTGCCTCTCCCTCTCTACAACTCCCATTGCTGCTGCTCTTTCCCCTGCTCCTGCCGCTTCCGCTGCTGCTGCTGCTACCACTGCTGCTGCTGCTGTTGCTGCTGCTGCTGTTGCTGCTGCTGCTGCTGCTGCAGTGGTGATTGCTGAGCAGATGAGCGGGACAAAGATGTACGAGTTGGTTAGGGTAGGCTGGCTCAGGCTCGTGGGAGAAATCATCAGACTAGAAGGAGACAACGCATACATACAAGTCTATGAGGAGACGGGTACTTTATTTTATTTATTTTATTTATTTTATTTATTTTATTTGTTTTATATAAATATATAAATGTATAAATGTATACATTATGCTGGATAGTAGTGTATTTAGTTGTATAGAGAGAAATCATCAGACTAGAAGGAGACAATGCGTATATACAAGTCTATGAGGAGACTGGTACTTTATTTATTTTATTTTATTTTATTTATTTTATTTTATTTATTTTATTTTATTTTATTTTATTTATTTTA